TCTTCCTGCAGAGACCTGACTAGTCATGATTGATGGGGAATAGGGAGAGGAGTACAGAGAACTGAGGGGACTCTGGGCTTTAGATTCTTTGCTCTCTAATGGATTTTAGCATTTTCCTGAATGCTCTGTGAGGACATGCTCTGTCCAGACTACCTGGACTCTGTCCCAGTACCAGCACCTTGGTAGGTATCCCCAGCAGCGGCTTCAGGCAGGTTCTCCAGAAGCAAGCATGATACTTGGTACACAGTAGAACTGAGTAAGTGAAGCTTCTCTTACCTTGTCTCTGAAACTCTTGTTACATTATTTTATGTCCTTGTACTTCCAGATCCTGAATTTAACACTGATCTAGCTATTAATAGAGTTTTATATTTTGAAATGCCACGAGCAATAGAAAGGGGCTATTATAAAACAACAACAAAATAATCCTAACTTTAGTAAAACAAAAAAGATTGAAGAAACTGGGAAAATTAAGCATTGGGAATGTATCAACGCAAATTTCCCTGCCCAAGCAGTTGGTTGATGGTGGTAGTGTTTTGTTGATCTAGTTATACTTTTTTTTTTTTTAAAGATTTATTTATTTATTTGACAGAGAGAGATCACAACTAGACAGAGAGGCAGGCAGAGAGAGAGAGAGAGAGGGAAGCAGGCTCCCTGCCGAGCAGAGAGCCCGATGCGGGACTCGATCCCAGGAACCTGAGATCATGACCTGAGCTGAAGGCAGCGGCTTAACCCACTGAGCCACCCAGGCGCCCCTAATTATACTTTTTTTAATCCAACAAGTAATTCAATATGATGAACATTCTATTCTTCATCACATAGCAATCACTTCAAAAGAATTTAGAGAATCTTTACAATTCTTGTTGAGCCATAAAAAAATTATATTTCTACTCCCTACATTGCCCTCACATTTTATATTACAATACCTTAAATACTTCAAATATATCAGATAAAATAGAAGTCTGCACCACATTCCCACCCCTACCACACACTTCAGACTCACTCAGAGAGCTTTTTAAAAGTACTCATGTCCAGGGGTACCTGGGTGGCTCAGATGTTGAGCATCTGTCTTAGACTCAGGTCCTGATCCCAGGGTCCTGGGATAGAGCCCCACATTGGGCTTCCTGCTCTTCAGGGAGCCTATTTCTCTCTCTCCCTCTGCCTGTCACTCCCCATGCTTGTGCTCTCTCATTTCCTCTCTGTCAAGTAAATAAATAAAATCTTAAAAAAAAAAAAAAAAAGGACTCAGGTTCAGACCCTCTCCCTACCCCTCCTCTCCAGGCCAATTAAATCAGTATCTCTAGGTACAAAGACTAGACATTGATATTGTTTAAAAGCTCCCTAAACAATCTTCAAATGCAAGAGTTCAGAACAGATCTCCAAACCACAAAAGAAAACAAACTAAATTACACAAAAAAGTATGAATCTCCACAAAAAGTATAAACACAAGATACTTGTCCCCAGCAAGCTATTTATCCCTTGTTAATGAACTTACCATGAGCCCTTTTTTGGACTGTTAACTTTCAACTTTTGCACATTGTAAAGTTGATAGAGCCTTTCAGTTGGTTTTACTTCCTTGTTTGGCATGTGTGGTTTGTTGACAAACTGCCCAGAACATGGTAAAAGAAAACCTCATTAAACTTGCCTCTGAGTCAGCTGTGGTTTTCTAATCAGTAGGGTTTTTCTTGGAACACTAAAAGATGGTGAGCTAGAACACATAAGTGAAGGAATCAAACAGACTCTCAAAGGTAATTAAAGATTATAGTTTTGGTTGTGAGGTGGGAGTGGGAAGAAGGCAGTTGGAAACAAAGGAGTGATGCCCTCAATATTTTTAAAGAAAACTTTGATTAAGTCTCAAGAAGTAAAATCTACATTCTGCATTTGTTTTGCAACATGTTTTTGAGTTCTTTTAATCAAATAAATACTCTTTCAAAAAGGGCTGAAAAAGAATTACAATAAATACAGTTGACCTTCAATAAATATGAACAATCTGAGTAATTCTAAGTCTTAATTAGAAATGAGGTAATAAAGGAAAATAGTTGAAATATATTCTTTATTCCATTTTGTTAAGGTAACCATATGTCCCATGTTATTTGTATCAGTTCTATTTTTTTCAAATGGCTTACCCTTTGATGTAGGAAAGACGACATTAGGATTTAAAGCCAACAGCCAAGAAAGAGTTCTTGAGATGCCTTTGGTGCAAAAAGGTGATCTTACTAAAGCACGGGGACAGGACCTGTGGGCAGAAAGAGATACAATGGGGTCATGAGGAGTGGCCCATTATATACTTTCAAGTTAGACGGGGTTAGGGATAGGTAAGTCTCTAAGGAATTTTGGAAGGAAGGTTGCCAGGACCTTGAGCAGGCTAACCATTGTTGGGAAAAGGTCATTTATTACTGTCTAATAAAGCCTTACTCATGAGACCCTTCAGATGTGTGTCAATGAGCCATGTGCTTGGGGGATGATTGCCATCACATATCTTGAGGGAGGTTTAGAGATAAAGGAAGTTTCCAAAGGAATTTTTATACGTTAAAGTAGACTTACAGGATCCTGGTGTGGGGTGCCAGGGGGAAGGGTTGGTCAGACTAGGATGGCATTTTGTCCTTTACAAAGTATTAACATCTAGGCAGTTGAGCTCCTAGAGGAATGTCACTCTGCCTGTTTCAAGGACTTGTCAACGGGCTGTAGGTAGTAAGGAAATTTAAAAATTTTTTTCTGACTTTGTTTCACACATCAACCTATGTAGTGTCCAAGCTATGAACTACAAAGAAATGTCACTTGTGCTTTCTCTATGAAAATTAATCACATTTTAACTCAGTGCAACTTAGTAGCTCACAGAGGTAACTGAAGGATTTCACAAACGGCAGGAAGCACCCCTTGCACTTTTTTAGCAGTAGTCACTGTCTACAGGATGATGCCGTAGATGATAATGAAATAAGGCAGGTTGGCTCCTTTCATTTCTTCTCTGCCTTCTCTACACTTCCTGCCAAGTCCCTCCTTCATCTCTTAGCCTATATTGGTAATATATGTCCACATTAAGCTTCATGCAGTTTAGGTGTTTGAGGGATGTAGGTTATCTCAATAAGCCAACAGATCAAAATGAAGCAAAGTGAAACAAGACAAGAGAAACCTTGCCACTGTAGAATGGGAAAGGATGCCCTGGACTATAAGATAAGCTGTGAAGTGAAGTAATTCAGCTGAATCAAGGACTCACAGAGGTGACTAGAATAATGACCTCTAAGTGATTCCGCATTAACCTAAATTCTCTGCAGAGAAAGTTTGGTAGGTCTCCCTCTGCATTCTGAAGGGATAATCTAGCCAATTACTTTAGACTATTAAATGCTATGAGTTGCATACATTTCTGATCATGTGCTTGAAGGTGTTAGTGACCTAATTTTTATTTTAATAAGCCAGGTAAATTTTAAATAACTCTAGATAATAGTAACAATGCCTAGCATTAAATATATCTTATATACATCTCATTATCTCACTTGATGGTTATAACAACTTTTGGTCCAAAGTAGGAAATACAGCTTTGTTAAGCTTTTTTACAAATAATACTTCTTAAGGAAAATTGGATGGGCAGAAAAGGTCAAGTTTGAACTAGAATGCTTTTTTTTTTTTCTTTTTTAAAATTTTTTAAGTTCAGTGATCTTTTCCTGCTCTACTACATTCTAATGTGGGTCCCTGCAAGTTTCCGGGACTAGCATTTCAGTCTTGTTAGGGAAATATATAGCTACATCCTAAGTTGTTTAGTACAAAAAGTAGCAAATCAGAAGGGGAGAGAAATAAGGACCTCAATGGTTGGGGAAATCTACAAACTAAAACATAAAAACTAAACTAAAACAAAAAAATACTAACCTGGTAGTATGGTAGGTACTTTCCATTAAAAATTTTTTTAGTCCTTACTGAGCTAGACTCTGCTAGGGGCAAAGGTTACAAAAATGGTTAAGAATAGTTACTGTCTTTGAGGGACTTTCTAAGATAGCAGGTTACAATCTAGTGACCAGGACTCCAAAAAATTGATTAGGAATGACTTTGGTAGGTGCTCAGAGGAAGGGTGGTTCAGATAATCAGATCAATAGAGAAGGCAGAGACTTGGAGGAGCCCCCAACGTGTTAGTTTGATATGCAGATGCTCTATTTGTTGTTTTTTGCTAAGTAAACTACTCACCACTGGCATGTGTGAAAATGAAGACAAAAATGACCGCTTTCAAGTGTAATTCCCAAGCTCATCCCCTTTAAAGTTTTGAATCCATCTCTTAGGGGCCACACTTGAAGGTAGAAAAACTTTTTCTATGTATTAATATAATCACTGTACAGCGGTGATACACCGAACAGTGAAATAGACCCTAAACTCGTTTTAAAATAACTCATGGAACGTGGGTTTAAGCCACGCCTCTGCCACCAACCGGCTGTGTGATACTGGGCAAGTAACTTCTCAGGGTGTCCTCGTCTCCGTCTTTAAGATTGTGATTTAAAGGCCACCTCATGGGGTTTTGTGAGGGTGATTTAAAATAATGCCTGTGAAAGCATTTGCTCTAGCACCTCTGAGGTACGTTTGTTATCTCGGGGTTCTTTGCAGTCTTGCCATTTTGAGATTTGATGAATCAGGACCCAAAGGTCTTAAGCATCACCGCGAACGCCTGACCTTCCCTCCTCATAGCCACTCAGGTTCCTCACGGTTAGGTGCTGCTTCGCGTTGACTGGGTCTGCATTGTGAGGTCTAGCAGTCGCAGTCACACACTTATGGCCGCCAGGAAAGAGAAAAGTTCGGTTTCATTGCGGGAGAAGAGGGAGAGAAGGAGGAGGGAAAGGGAGAAGGAGGCAAGAGTACCACAGATCCGCGAAGGCACGCTTCGCGCACGCGCACTGGCCGCCCTACGCCACACTTCCTGCGGGAGGGGGAGGACCGCGACGTGCCCACGTCGGGCGCACTGACGCTCGCTTGGCGTGCGCCGGCGGCCGGCGTCGTTAGTTGCGGGGTCGGGAGTCGCGGTCTGTGGAGCCCGCCTGGCCGGGGGGAGGCGGGGCTTCTGTCTGGCGGAGGTGGGTGCGCACGGACGCCGCAGAGGATAACTTTCCTGTACCGGCTCTCGCGCTCTTTTTAAGTCCCTTGGAAGTGTGGCCGTCGGGACAGTTTTGTCGTACCGTTTAGCCAAACATCTTCCCTTTGGTGATACAAGCGCAGGTTTCAGGGCGGTGGCTCTGGCATGCCGAACTCGCGGTCCAGGCCCCATCGGGGTGCCCGGAGTGGCGGCGGGGCAGCCGGGCGGGAGGAGCTGGTGTCGAGGTCCTTGCAGAGCGCAGAGCACTGCCTGGGCGCCCAGGACTTCGGCACCGCCTATGCCCACTACCTCCTCGTACTCAGCCTGGCGCCGGAGCTGAAAGACGACGTGAAGGTGAGGAGGAGGTCCCTTCTTTCACTTGCTGGCAGATCTGTGTTCTTCACGTAAAATAAGTTGGGGGAGGTGGGTGGCTGAGATGGGTGAGCGGTTGCCATTAATATTTACTGTTCATTCTTGACTTCTCTTTTATTCACGCCCGCAATCAGCCCATCAGAAAATCCTGTCGGCTCCATCTTTGAAATATATCCAGAATCTGACCACTGCTCACCACCTTCTCCCTTACTACCTTGGTTAAAGTCTCAGTCATCGGTTGGCTGTTGCGGCAGGCTCCTAACCAGGCTTTCCCCCGTAGGCTGTCCCAACACAGCCTGCGTGAGCATTTCATAACAAGTCAAACGATGTCACTTCTCGTTTTCAAAACTTCCATTTTAATATAAAGGCTGTATTGCAAATAAGGCCGCAAGGGATCTTCTCCCTCCTCCTATATCTAATTCTAGTATCCCTGCCTCAGGACGTTTGACCCTGGCCCAGCTGTGTGCAGAAGGAGTGTTGTGGGTATCTGCAGTTGAATAAAGTTTGGAAGTAGCCTAAAGTTATCATTTGATGATGCATTCTTTAACCTTCAACTACTGGATTGTGATGGTTATTGTTTAAATGCTGAAAAAATTTTCAAGTTATTTTAGAATCTAACTTAAGTGATTTCACTTAATTTTGTATTCAGTTTTCAGCCTCAAGCTACTTGCTTTATTTCACCCAGCGTTTCTCAACATTAGCCTTACTGACTTTGTTGATGGCGTGATTCTTTTTTTGGAGAGTTGGCCTGTGCATTGTAGAATGTTTAGCAACATTGTTGATTTCCTCTACCTACTAGATGTCAGTAATGTCTAGATGTTTGTGGTTAACATAAGTTTAGTGTAAATTTCACGAGCAGCTGGCCCCAAGAAGAAGGTGCTAGTTGAGATACAGTTTGCTCTTATAGGTAGGCAGCAGTAGAATCAACCCAAGTGGTGGTTTCTTTCTTTGTTCCTTAGGTTCCTCCTTTGTCAAACAGTGACAATACCTTTTTTATAACTGTTTAGTGCGCATCAAAAGTATATCTAAAGCCTGTATTTGAATGCCTCATGTTCAGTAGGGTTCAGAAACTTTTGTTTCCTGCAGAACAAAGGCCATATTCTTCGTTCAGGCTTTAGCAAAAGATCTCTTTAGTCTTATTTTTCACTACTCTATTCCCCATGCCCACACTTCAGCCACACCAAGCTGGTTACCTGTAGATTCCCTGACCCAGTTCATATCATCTGTGCTTTTTAGTCCCTGATACTATAGACTCTTCTTGCATATTCTTCTCTCTAGTAAACTACATCAGAATTCAGTTACAAGTATCAACTCTTCTGTAAATCTGTGAGGATGATGTAAAATGTGCTCACCATAAAACTGGCATGACTAAAGCCTTCCCTCTTTCTATGGTGTTGTGATGTGGAGAATAGCTGGAGGGAGGTGAGATTGGAGCTGGGGACAGTGGGAATGCTGTTACTGTGGTCCAACAAGTATTAGAAGGCCCAGACTATGTTTTAACAGTGGGGATGGAGAGAAGGTGACAGACTTAAAGATGTTGAGCTATAATTGGCTGGGTTTGAAACTAATTGCATTGGAGTTAAGGTAGTGTTAAATAAGATGACTCAGTGGTTTGAGGTTGGGTGGTACCTTAACCTTATATCCTGTGTGAGAGGAATATAATAGGTTCACTTTAGAGCATTTTGAATTTTTAAAAATTGCGTGTTTAATTTCTCCCAGCAAGTCTTCTGTGAGGACAGGAACAGGATTTATGTTGTTCATTGCTGTGTTTTAGCTCCAGTTCTTTGCATACTGATTGTTCAGGAAATACTTCAGTTGAGCTGAATTTGAGATGGATGAGGGTGCAGTTCCTTGTTGAGATGACTGATAGGAAGTTGTGTCTGTGAGTCAGGTTCAAAAGAGGAGGGAGTCTTGATTGGAGATGTAGATGTCGCTTCATCCTTCAATGCATGGGTGATAGTTAATGCATTGGAGATGAATGAGAAAGAAGGTGGCCAAAAACAACTCCTAAAACATAGGAGCCCACAAAAGAGAGGTAGGTGGAGAATGTGATATGACAGCTAAGAATGGAGAGAGTTTAGAGTGGTCATACTCTCTACTTCTGCATGTTATTGCTACATAGGTGGTAAAATTCATTTATGCCTTTGTTTATTTGGTAAGTTGTCTACTAAAGCTAAATAAAATTTAAAGTAATCAGTTAATAGTAGTTAAGTTCTGTTCTCTGTGGAATCATCAGATGCTGTATGTTCTTCATTTATGTTATTGACTAAATTACTGTTTTCTCTTTCAAATAGGAAACTTTTCAGTATACACTGTTTAGATGGGCTGAAGAACTTGATTCTCTCAATCGAACACAAGACTTACTTAGTTGTTATGAACAAGCTTTGGAACTGTTTCCTGATGATGAAGTGATTTGTAATAGTATGGGGGAGCATCTCTTCAGGTTTGTAGTGATTTCAGTATTACCTGTTAAGAATTACTCTGTATCAGTCTTGATCAGGGATAAATCATACAGTAATTTGAAAAGGAAAGTTTAATATAAAGAATTATTAACTGTGACCGGGGATCAGAGTAATGAAGGATTGGCTAGTAAGAAGTAGAGAGAACTCAAAAGAATATAAGAATAGCAAATATAATATGTAATAACAGATTAATTTTAGTATTATATTTGTGCTACATAATAGCCATTGTCCCAAGGGTTGACACAGAGTATCTGAGGAAGAGTTCCCCTCACTGGGCTAAGATCGAGACCTTGTTGGAGAGGACCAAGGTGTATGTTGCAGGATGGCTGTGAAGTAAGTCACTGTGGTACCTTGCCAGGGAACTTGTGAATCTCTTCTCTGGATCTGGCTGGAAACTTGCCATTAGAAATTCTGTCCATTCTCCATAGAAACTATAGAACTAGAAAAACATGAAAACCCCCAATTTTTGTTTTGGATTTATTTTATTAAATTTGGTTTCACTTTGTACAACTTAGCAGGAAGCTTCTTGTAAGAAACAGCATGCTAATGTCCTGTTCTATATAGTGAGATCATTTTACATGTTCCAGCAGTTGTCCTCTAGTATTATTGCTTTGTTCATCCAATCATATTAAGTTTTATTCAATGAAAAGTTCTATAAAGGAAGTATCTTTATCAAAATGTATTAGTCTCAGGTAGCTGTATACAGTTTAATAGTCTTAATCAGCATAACTTGGGGAGTGAAATAAGTACTCCTTTAAGAGATAAATATTTGACAGTTTCTAATTGTAGAGTATGATAATAACTGGGGATATGAAGCAGATTTTTCAACTGAGGCTTGTTTGCTCACACTAACAGCTAACCTGATCCTGATACACAGATTCCATCTCTATTAATTAGCAATTACTTGCCCTTTAAATGAAATTTAGCTTAAGAAGATTTTTTTTTTTTTAATTTATTTGACACAGAGAGAGAGAGAGAGAGATCACAAGTAGGCAGAGAGGCAGGCAGAGAGAGGGGGAAGCAGGCTCACTGCTGAGCAGAGAGCCCGATACGGGGCTTCATTCCAGGACCCTGAGATCATGACCTGAGCTGAAAGCAGAGGCTTAACCCACTGAGCCACCCAGGCGCCCCTAGCTTAAGAAGATTTTTAAATAACTTGTCACATTAGTTAAAAGTATACATTTTAATTTCAAAATTTTCTTTAGTTCTTCAGTTCATATAAGGGAAGTTAGTCTACAGGATTCAGTTGTATTTCCAGATAATAGGCATGTAATGATCATAACATTTTAAAACTAATGTTTAGGATAAGCTCAATTCAACAGAAAATTGGAGTTCTGTACACTTTTGACGGATCATAATTTGGTTACCTATTGTTTTAAGATACTAGTCTGAGCAGTTACCAATTACTGAGACAATAATGCTTGTTTGCTTCAGGAAATGTAATTATGCAAAATAATTGAGAATTCAGAACTTGTAAAAGTGTGAATGTGGCTTTGCTATATAGTTTGTCTTTGTTCTTTACAACAGTGGCTCTTACCTTTTGTCCTTTCTACTTTCCTCATCAAAAACAGTGGGTCACTCACTCCGCACTAAGAGAATCATGGCTCCAGGAGAAAAAAATTTCCAGAGTAAACGATAGCTTTCCTTTCTTCCTTCCTTGTATTTGTGAAATACAATATGTGTCTGGAAAGTCTCAACTTTACAACCTTGTCCAATAGTCCAGTAGCATCAGATTTAAACAAAACATTTAAGTTGCTAATTGGGAAGATATTTCTTTTTTTCTAGTTAAAAGAAGGGTGGTTTTATAGTTTGTTGATACTGACACACATGTTGGGTCTATCAATATCAGATAAACTTTAATTGAGTGTACCATATATCTTTCAGATTAACATTATGGTTTAAGAAAACTGAATGATGGGGCACCTGGGTGACTAAGTCATTAAGTGTCTGCCTTGGCTCAGGTCATGATCCCAGGATCCTGGGCTTGAGCCCCGCATTGGGCTCCATGCTCAACAAGAGGCCTACTTCTCTCTCTCCCACTCCCCCTGCTTGTGTTCCCTCTCTCGTTGTGTTTGTCTCTGTCAAAGAAATAAATCTTTAAAAAAAAAAAAAAAACCTGAATGATATATTAAGAATCAAACTTAAGGGAAGCACAAACCCCAGGAAATTATTAGGGGCAGGTTTGGCATTGATTCAGCAGATTGTTGATATTTAAACATTCTAAAATACCTATTGCTAGTTTTGTCTCACTGAGTAATGATTATGTAAAATGTGTTTCGTATTGTATTTTGTGTAGTGTCAGTTGTAGAATAAGATAATCCTGTCTTCAAGATACTTAAAAATAACAGATACTAACCTTAAACATTTTTATTTTAACCTTAAACATGAGTGCCAGTCATTTGACTAGGGCCATTACCTTTTGTTAGAGTGTAGTTCCCTGTTTGAAGTTCCAGAATGTTTGTTTGTTTATTTGTTTTATGTAAACCATACCTAGAATGAATAGTCTGATTTTCAAATGCTTAAAAGTTCTCATGAAGAAATGTGAGTGTAAAAGGGTTTTACTAGCTCATGTCTCTTCAATTTGTGGACCACACACTGGGGCAGGTCCACAGATTATCAGTCAGTGACAGTAAGTATAGAAATTGAGTGTAAGTGTTTAGAAATGTATATAGCACTTTGATACTGCTTTAAATCCAAGCATGTGATCAGGGAACTCAGTTGTGAAGGAGAGTGTGGACCAGTTAGGGTGCTGCTGAAATCTGCTGGGTGAGTTGCATGCTAATCACATGCAGTAGAACTGTTTTGGTCTACAAATATTTATGTATCTAAAAAGGGGGAGATGGATTCTTTACTACAGAAAGTTCAAGAAGCCCTATTCTAGATAGGTCAGTAGTTTTCCCGCTTTTATTGTTGATTTGCTCACATCTAATTCAGTAGGAACTTTTGGATGACTCGCCTTTGATTTTTATCAAAGGATTTAGCTTAATGTCCTCAGAAACAGTGGCTCTCTCTTTGCAGTTATGTTTATTTAGTTTCTATCATATATATTTGTTATGTTTATATAATGTATATATTTTATATACTTATATATTAAATACATTTAATTGAAATATGTAATTACATGAAATTATAATAATAAGTACAACGGATAAAAACTGGTCTGGCTCTTGATAATTCACTCAGTTGCTGTGAGAAAAGGTATACAGTCACACCCCCTACTAGCTTTAGGCATTAGTATGTTTTACACAGGAATGATTTTTAGAAAGCACTGGTTTTCTAGTGAGTTGGTTAAATGGCAGGATGACTCGGAGAGCTTCTACTATATTTTAGTACAATAGTAATTTATAGTCAGTTTCCTAAAATGCATAAATACAGTAAGGGTTCAGAAAGGAAAAAAAAATGATCAAAGACTGTCATCCTTACAAAAGACTTCTCATAAGTGATGGTGCTTGGAATGAGTAGGATTTGGGGTGCTGGAGTGATTCTTACGCCTGATAAGTGGCATGAACAAAGGCACAGTAATTGATATCATAATAACTGAACATTTTGTCTGTCATTTTTTACTGTAGAATGGGCTTTAGAGATGAAGCAGCTGGGTATTTTCATAAAGCTGTAAAACTAAACCCTGAATTCAATGATGCAAAGGAGAATTTTTATCGTGTTGCAAACTGGTTGGTGGAACGCTGGCACTTTATCATGCTTAATGACACCAAAAGGAATACAGTTTATAATGCAGCAATCCAAAATGCAGTTTGCTTGGGGTCCAAGAGTGTTTTGGACATTGGAGCAGGAACTGGAATACTAAGGTTTGTTGTAATTGTGTTTTAATTATATGCACACACACACACACACACACACACAAAGGTAAATTAAAGCTTTTTACCAAATATGGAAAATTTAACAGTGGAATTTAAAAATAGAGTTCAATTTATTTCTCATAATCTTATGATTATTCATGTAAACTACTATTATTGTTTTTTTCACTGTAACTATTTTATCAAGCACTGGACACAACTACTAAGAATTTGGGGTTACTAAAATTTTGAACAATGCCTTTTAAGAGTACTTTTTGCATTAATATTGTGCTTGAGTCTAATTGTCTAAGTTAAAGCCTGTCGACATTTTTCATGTCAATTATGTCTTCTTAAAAACATGAGTATCATGATTTATTGTATGATTTGTTTCTTGATAAGAATACTGGTTCATTTTTTTTTTAAATGTGAAATGAATAATGGTTGTGTTAGTTAAAGAATAAAAGGAAAAAAGCATGTCTAAGCCTAATAATTCCACTAAAATTTGAAAAGCTGCAGTGGATGATTTTTTCTTGATGGAGCACTTTTACCCCTTGCAGCATGTTTGCTAAAAAAGCTGGAGCACACTCAGTATATGCTTGTGAGTTATCCAAGACCATGTATGAACTTGCCTGTGATGTAGTGGCAGCAAACAAGATGGAAGCCGGAATCAAACTCTTACATATGAAGTCACTTGATATAGAAATTCCAAAACACATTCCTGAAAGGTATTATATAATATTTATGTAATATAATTTTATTTTTATAATTTTTAAAAAATTAAGATGTTCCTGTTTAGAGCTTCTAGCCCAAATAAAAATTCTAAAATCCTTATATTGTAAAGATAGGAATATGGGATCATTTAGCATAAGATGGATTTTCATAAGGTCATATTCTTGATAAAAAATATTTAGATCTTGGAAAAAAAACTTGTGCTAAGATATTTACTAAATATACTTGACCTTTAGCAAGTTACTTTTATTCTGTTAATTTTAGTATTCTGGTTGTGAAAATGGATACTATCTCTTATGTGGTCAACTATTTAAAAATTGTGGTTAAAAATAATACAAGAGTAGATCCGGCTTGATGGACTTATCATATTTTGTGTTAACCTTGGCTAAAATGAAAGCCGTCAAAGTATTTTGTCCTGGCTTCTTCAAATGCTTTGGATATTATCTCATAAGTCTTGGCTTTTTAGTATATCATCTCACTTTAATCATTATTGCAAGGGTGATGGAATTTTAGAACTGGAATGGATTTACAAATCATCTGGTCCAACACTATCATTTGTGAGACAGTTTTCTTTTATTTCTTTCTTTCTTTTTTTTTTTTTTTTATTTGACAGACAGAGATCACAAGTAGGCAGAGAGGCAGGCAGAGAGAGGCGGGGGTGAGGGGAGAAGCAGGCTCCCTGCTGAGCAGAGAGCCCGATGCAGGACTCGATCCCAGGACCCTGGGATCATGACCTGAGCCGAAGGCAGTGGCTTAACCCATTGAGCCACCCAAGAGCCTCGATACAGTTTTCTTAATGTAGCACTTTCTTTAATACCTCTCCTGGGTGGTCTATCTTCTCATCTTACTTAAATTCAATTTATATTGAAAGAGGACTTTTATACTCTCTTGTCATTTGGACTGTGATTTTTAAAAGTCTTCTTCCGTATGTATAATAATATTTGTTTACTTAATAATTATACTTTCCAATGGGCTCAGCATTGATTTTCATGGAAGAAGTCTTAATTATCTTGTTGAAGCAGAGAGACACATTTTATAGAAATAAACAGTATCCTGAATTATCGTAATCCACTCAGACTGCCATTACAAAATAACCACAGACTAGGTAGCTTAAACAACAAACATTTACTTTTTCACAGTTCTGGAAGCTAGAAGTCCATGATCAAGGGTGCTGGCAAATTTGGTTTCTGGTGAGAGCTCTCTTCCTAGCTTACAGACAGTTACATTCCTACCCTTTCCTCTGTACATGTGAGGAGAAAGAGAGATCACCTTGTCTTTTCCACTTTTATAAGGATACCAGCCCTGTCACATTAGGGCCCTACCCTTATGACTTCATTTAACTTTAATTTTAATCTCCTAAAGACCCTAGCTCCAAATGTAGTCACTTGGGAGTTAGGGCTTCAATTTATGAATTTTGGGATCATGACCTGAGCCGAAGGCAGAGGCTTTAACCCACTGAGCCACCCAGGTGCCCCATACCAAAGTTGTTCTGTCCTCAAGGCACCTATAATCTAGAGAGGAAGATAAGGAATATTCATGAAACTTTTCTTTATCTTCTAATTACATAAATAAATGTTACTGGCAATAATTGCTAAAGAAGTTCAAAGAAGGGAGAAAGTATATCTCTTTGGGTGAAATTTTCTAGAAAGAATGGTCAGAAGATCCCAACTCTGTGGACTTAAGCTTTTGTGAAAACTCACAGGTAGTAGGTAAAGCAAAAGAAGCAACAAGAGAGCTACAGTGAATGTGTAAGAGGTAAACACGGATAATGAGGGGAGAGAAAGGATTTTGAGAGGGAGGTCTTCTCAGGTCCATTACATGTTATTTGTAGATTAAGGAAAATGATAACTGAGAAAGATTACTCATCTTTATAAGTAGGGGAGTTATTTATGATAGAGAATATTTTTATAGAGTATTGGGGATAAAAATCCATTTACTCACCATGAAAGAGGGGACTGGTAAAGATAATGGGTATGAAGCACTCTTAAGAATTTAGGCAGTGAAAGAATCACCTGAAGAGGCCCCAGGGTCATGTGAAGGTTGTGTGTCTCCCTGCCCCCAGAGGGTGCCAGTGGAGAACAGAGGAGCCTGTGGAAACAGTAGAGTCAAGTTCCTTAAGATCTGAGGGTAGATACTAAAAAAGTAAAATGTATTAGAACATTTTACATGTGAACTGTTTCTATAATATACTTTTCCTTTGTTCTCTCAGCTTTGACATCTTTACTTAAATAGCATGATATTTTACTTACATATATCTTTAAAAAATCATTCTATAGAGTGTCCCTAGTTGTAACAGAAACTGTCGATGCAGGTTTATTTGGAGAAGGAATTGTGGAGAGTTTGATTCATGCATGGGAGCATTTACTTTTGCAGCCAAAGGTAAGCAGCATGAAAACACTTAAATTTGATTAAGAACTCATTATTTCAGTAGGTATTTATTGAGCCCCTTTGTGTCCTGCTAAGCAGTATGAAATACATTCTCCTATCAAGGTTTATACTACGTAGTTGGGAAGAAATCCATGCAAAAACCAGTTTAATCATCTAATGTAATATATACTTGTGTACCTCCATGGGGTAGATAGGCCAAAAAAAGACTCCAGGAAGGAATTCATAGTAATTGAGGCTACACTGTGGGACAGCTATTGTGGAATTCTTGAATAGGATTGAGAAAGGGAAGTACTTTCAGTCTCAATAGCCCTCACTGCTTGGATTTTTGGCAAACTATCAAAGGGGAGTGTAGCGATAACTGATTTGGTGTGGTTTTAAGGTACCAAATGATTGGACAGGACTAACTCTTAAAATTGCCAAATTGTGTTTTGCAATGAAATTCTCTAAGGTGGCCCATGAATTACAGATTTAGTTTTTATAATATGTAATGTGAATGAAAGTCTTTTAACATGTCATGAGAATTTACTATTTACAGAAAATGATTTGAATTTAAAATACCTAATTAAAGACTGAAAAGAAGAGCAGTTGGTCTTTCAAATAGATAGTAGTGATTTTGGTTTCTCAGTTAAAGTCATATCCGACAGTTTTTTGTTATATATAGATTTATAGCTACCCTCCTCTTCGTATTTGTACTGTTGAAAAAAATATGTATACATATATACATATACAAACACACATATATAGCAATGAAAGTGAAATAAACTTTTTAAATAAAATTAGTATTAACATGGCATCACATTCATTGTTTTTCATTTTTTAAATTTACTATGTTTTTATTTAATATACTGAACATACAGTGTTATATTAGTTTCAGGCGTACAACATACTGATTCAGCAGTTCTGTATGTTACTCAGCATTCATCACGATAAGTGTACCCTTAATCCCTGTCACCTATTTCACCCATCCCCCCATCCACCTCCTTCCTGGTAACCATCAGTTTGTTCTCTCCATTTAAGTGGTTTTTTTGTTTATCTCTATTTTGTTGCTGTTTATTTCTTTCTTAAATTCCACATATGAGTGAAATCATATGGTGTTTATCTTTCTCGGACTTCTTTCACTTAGCATTATGTCTTCTAGATCCATCTGTATTCTTGCTAATGGCAAAATTTCATTCTCTTTTATGGCTGAGTAATATTCAAGCTTTTTTATTGAGGTATGACTGACATATAACATTATATTAGTTTCACGTATAGAATGTATTGATTTAAAATTTGTATATCTTGTGAAATGATCTCCACAATAAGGCTAGTAAACAAAAGAAGCTTTTCAATTTCAATTTTTTTTTTTAAGATTTCATTTTTAAGCAATGTGGGGCTTGAACTCACAATCCTGAGATCAAAAATTGCATGCTTTACCAACGAAGCCAACCAGGAACCCCCAAAGAAATTTTTAATTAAAAAAAATTTTTTATAAGATTTTGTTTATTTTATTTTAGGAGGGGGAAGTGAGCAGGGGGAGTGGCAGAGGGAGAAGGAGAGAGAGAATGTCAGGTAGACTCCGCTCAGCGTGGAGCCCAGTGTGGGGCTCTGTCTCATGACCCTGAGGTCATGACCTGAGCTGAAACCAAGAGTCAGACATGTAACCCACTGAACCACCAGGTGCCCCATAAGAAACTTTTTAAAGATTTTGGGGCGCCTGGGTGGCTCTGTGGGTTAAAGCCTCTCCCTTCGGCTCAGGTCATGATTCCAGGGTCCTGGGGCTCTCTGCCTGGCGGGGAGCATGCTTCCTCCTCTCTCTCTGCCTGCTTCTCTGCCTACTTGTGATCTCCGTCTGTCAAATAAATAAATAAAATCTTAAAAAAAATCTTATTTATTCACTTATTTATTTGAGGGGCAGGGGGAGCATGTGCAAATAGGGGGAAGTGCAGAGGGAGGAAAGGATTGCGTGGAGTCTGACACAGGGCTTGATGTCATGACCCTGCAATCATGACCTGAGCTAAAACCAAGAGTCAGATGATTAACCCAGATGTCCCCACCAAAAAAACTTATTTATTTATTTATTTATTCATTTTTATTTTACTTTATTTTTTTAAACATTTTATTTATTTGTTCGACAGAGAAGAGGAAAGCACAGGCCAGGGGAGCAGCAGGCAGAGGGAGAAGCAGGCCCCAGCTGAGCAGGGAGCCCGATTAGGGGCTCAATACCAGGAGACCCAAGCTGAAGACAGTTGCTTAACCAAATGAGCCACCCAGGCACCCCTAAAAAAAACTTTTGAAAGAAAAAAGTACCTTAACTTGTTTATCCTTACCTGTTGCTTTTAAAGTTTTTTTCTTATTAATTTTCTTTCTCATAATCATGCACACATATTTTTACATACATGAATATAACTGAATATAATTTTTATTGTTATATTTTAGAGCAGAGGTGAAAATGGTAATTGTGATAAGTATGGGAAAGTTATACCAGCAAGTGCTGTCATATTTGGAATGGCAGTAGAATGTGCAGAGATAAGAAGACATCATAGGTAAGTGGTTATTTAAATAGTAAATACTAGAAAACATTAATTTTAAAGAGTAAACTACTTGAAAGTTTATTTAGTGAATATTTATTTGGATGAGAATTTGTAGTTTTGTGACCTTTAGATTCATGATGTTTGTTCCAGCCTTAATTCCGTTTGCCTTTTTCTTACTTTCCTTTAAAGTGTAACTCTAGGGATGCCTGTGTGGCTCAGTTGGTTAATAATCTGCCTTCTGCTCAGGTCATGATCCCAGGGTCCTGAGATTGAGCCCCACTCTGCGGGGAGCCTGCTTCTCCCTCTGCTTGCTGCTCCCCCTGCTTGTGCACACATGCTTGCTCGCTCTCAAAAAAAAAAAAAAAAAAATCTTCAAAAACAAATAAAGTAGAACTCTAGAACTAAAACCAGCTTTCAGTTTCTTAGTGGAAAATTAATTTTGATACAACTTAGTATTTTTTTTATTTGTGGTGGATTAAAGAGGCCCCCTTCAATAACTTAAGAGTAGTAAAGGTAACGTATAAATATTTAGGACATAGTGATGAGTAAAAGAAGAAAATAAAAATTATCCTAAACACTTCACTGTTAGATAGCTAGTGTTCATCTTTGTTGTATACTCTTCCTTACTTTTCTGTGCATGTTACAGGGTGATAAGGAAGTAAAATAGTTATCGGTAGGGCATAGGGCACCAACCAGACAGACAGTGGCCTTAATGAATAGATTGGCTGAATTAGTGTGCTGGTTGAGTGTCTGTTCTGTGTAAGTAAAGGTGTGTGTATATCAATTTAATTTTGTTTCAAAAGTTTCAGTAAATATGTTTGCTTTTTCTTTGTGAGCCTCTTCATGTTAATCGATATGCTTCATGATTTTTTAAAACCAATTTCCTTTCATTCTGAGTTTAGAATTTTTAGGTGCTTCTACTATTCTGCATATAAGAACAAGGGTAAATATCTTCGTACTTAGAACTTGTCTTTATTATTTTCTTGGGATAAATTTCTTAATAAAGAATCGAGTTACATAAAATCTTATTTTTTTTTTAAATTTTTTAATTTATTTGACAGAGAGAAATCACAAATAGGCAGAGAGGCAGGCAGAGAGAGAGGGGGAAGTAGGCTCCCTGCTGAGCAGAGAGCCTGATGCGGGGCTTGATCCCAGGACCCTGAGATCATGACCTGAGCCGAAGGCAGAGGCTTAACCCACTGAGCCACCCAGGCACCCCAAGTTACATAAAATCTTAAAAAAAAGAAAAAAGAATTGAGTTAAAAGGTGTGTACATTTTTCAGTTTATGGATACACATTGCTGAATTGCCCACCAGAAAAGCTAGGTTGTGTGTTGCTGAGATTTCTTGCTATAACATGATTCTAGATTCTTTGCCATAAATAGTTTCTCTTTATATTTTATAGTTAAGTCACTAAAATTGTTTGGCTAAACAAAATAGAAATTGACTGGTGTCTACTATTTTGAAAAAGGATCCCTTTGGGACGCCTGGGTGGCTCAGTTGGTTAAGCAGCTGCCTTCAGCTCAGGTCATGGTCCCAGCGTCCTGGGATCGAGTCCCGCATCGGGCTCCTTGCTTGTCAGGGAGCCTGCCTGCTTCTCCCTCTGCCTCTGCCTGCCATTCTGTCTGCCTGTGCTTGCTCTCTCTCCCTCTCTCTCTCTGACAAATAAATAAAATCTTTAAAAAAAAAAAAAAAAAAAGGAAAAGGATCCCTTTATCATTGATTCGTTTACATAGCAAATAAGGGTCTGACTATACAACAGAAGCACCAGCAGTTTTTGTAAAAATAAAAATGCCATACATTTTGCTTGAGTAGGTCTGGGTGGGTGAGACTTGGTATTTTTTTTTTTTTTTAAGAGTTTATTTATTTATTTGTCAGAGAGAGAGAGAACACAAGCAGGCAGAGTGGCAGACAGAGGCAGAGAGAGAAGCAGGCTTCCCACTGAGCAAGGAGCCTGATGTGGGACTTGAGCCACATGACCTGAGCCAAAGGCAATGGCTTAACCAACTGAGCCACTCAGGCATCCCCGAGACCTGATATTTATTTTTCATGAAGCTCAGCAGTGTGGGTTGAGGACCATGAAGAAAGGTGCTGAAAGATATAGAGATGAGTGCTACTATTTTATCTGGTAGAAACAATTTTTTTTTTTTTAAGATTTTATTTATTTGAGAGAGAGAGAGTGAGAGAGAGCATGAGCGAGGAGAAGGTCAGAGAGAGAAGTAGACTCCCCGTGGAGCTGGGAGCCTGATGCGGGACTCGATCCGGGAACTCCGGGATCATGACCTGAGCCAAAGGCAGCCGTCCAACCAATTGAGCCACCCAGGTGTCCTGAAACAATTTTTTTTTTAGGATTTTATTTATTTATAGAATCTGAGAGCAAGAGAGAGCGTCCACAAAGTGAGCACAAGTGGGGGGAGGGGCAGAGAGAGAGGGAAACGGAATCCCAAGCCGACTCCACGCTTCGAGTAGAGCTCATCGTGGGGCTCTGTTCCACGGCCCTGAGATCATGACCTGAGCTGAAACCAAGAGTTGGATGTTCAACCAGCTTAGGCACCTAGGCACCCGTGGTAGAAACAATTTTAACTACTGTTATAAAAATCACTGTTTGGAACCTATTGAATCTTATGCTTATCTGAACAAGCAAATGTTTTAAGAATAGCCAAGGAAAGTGATAAGTTTGCCTTACTAGATACAAACCTCTAGAAATAAAAAACACTGATGCAGAGATCGAAAAACAGATCAGTGGAAAAAATAAATACAGATCTTGGAATTTATAGAGATTTAGTAATGATACAGATGTGGTATTTCAGGTCAGCAGAGAAAGGATGAATGGAAATAGAGATATTTTTCATATAGGGAAAAACATTAGGTTCTTACTTTAATTCAAGATGAATTAAATAAGTGTAGAAAATTCATTGAGTGATGAAGGCTTTCCAAAGGAAAACATAGGATAGAGTCTAAAAAGCCATAGAAGAGTGATAAATTTGACTACTTTAAAAAAATTTTAATATTTTTATCTGGTGAAAGTGTAAATAAAGTTAAAAGACAGTTGACAGGCTGAGATAAAAATTTGCAACTTTTACAACAAAGCATTAATATACTTAAAATTGTTAATCAGAAATGGAAATTAAGTCAATATAACATTTTTTTGAGTAATTATATTAGCATTAAAAATGATAATATCTTGTTTTCTCACAGGTGTGGGGAAAACTTATACACTGTTAGTACAACATTTTAGTAGCTCTATTTGGCATTATCTAAGAAAACTAAAGATCTGAATAGTCCTTGACCTAGTATTTCCACTTCTGGTAAGCTGTCCTGTTAAACATGCTTACACGTGTGTACAGGGGTGTTTAATGTAATGCTGTAATTGGGAAAAAAAAAACTATCTGAAGGCTTATTAATAAAATATTTCAATAATTTTTGATAAAACATTCGCTTAGTGCAGTACTGTGCAAATGTCATAAAGAATTATTTAAGGTACATGTACAGACATGGAAAGAAGTTCTTGATATACTATTAAGTGAAGAAGACAAGGTGTAATCCTAGGAGCAGTGAGCACACCTGACACTAGGTCTTGGTTTCTAAATTCCATTCCTTGCCAAAGGGAACTATAGCTCCTTGGAGAAATGGCTGCTTCCAGGATTAGGGTAGGACAGATTCAAGATGACTTTGAAACATTTTGCGTTGGAAATTAAGGAAGTACTAAAAAAAAAAAAAATTATAGGCCATTAAAAGGATATAAAAGCATGTTTGGAAGAGTCTCCCACTGGCCAAATCAGAGAGAATTTAAGCACCAAATACATACATACATAAGGGCATTTACAAATTAAAACCCATTGGATAAAATAAGAATCCATGAGTTCCTACTTATAATAAATAGATTAATAAATTCATAAATGGGGACAAAAGGACAGTTCTTTCCAGCAGGAGAATGTTGACTAATAATAAAACTAATGCTGCAAAATTATTGTTTGCAATCCCCATGTAAAGATGGGAGCAAAGGTTATGAATGGATCAAATCAAAGGGGGGAAAATTAAATGAAGGTCAAGGTATTTGTAAGTTTAAAAGTATCTTCTCACAAATAATTTATTACAAAAGGAAAAATGTTGATTACACAGGGAAAAAACCACATAGCATGTTAACCAAGTGATCAAAATTAACATCACCAGTAAGATTCTTCTAAATCTGATACTTTGAGGATATATCACTTATGTAATATTATACCCAAAATGTACATAACATATACATAATTATGAAAAAAACCCCTCTCTTTGCTGTTCCGCCTGCAGAGGGAAAGGGAGGAACAGACTCCTTGCTAAGCAGGGAGCTCAATGTGGGGCTCGATCCCAGGACCCTGAGATCATGACCTGAGCCAAAGGCAGACACTTAACTGACTGAGCCACTCAGGAGTCCCTGGAGTATTTATTTCTCATAAAATGGTGTGGCTAAAATATACACGAAATAATTTTTTTTCCCCAGTGTAAATTTTTTTTGACATCAGAATGCTGTTAAAGCAAGTGCATAAACCATAAATTTATGATTTGATGAATTTTCATGACATTGATACACTTGTGTAACCAATGATCAGATCAAGATCCAGAACACCAGCACCCCAGAAGGTCCCCAGGAAGAAACCCCTTCCAGTTACGGGTTCCCTGTCCCCCATTAGAGTAGCCACTATCCTGACTTCTGACACCATCGATTATTTTGACTGTTCTGAATTTCATACAAGTGGGATCATACAGAGTAAGTTTTTTTGTGCCTGACTTCTTTTTTTCAACATCCCTGTTCACTGGTGTATAGTTTGCGCATTCTCATTGATGTGTAGTATACCAGTGGGTGAATATGCCAAAATACTTGCTTTTACTGATGATGGATATTTAGGTGATACCTAGTTCCTTGATTATTGGAAATAGTACATCTGTAAGCATTCTTGAGCATTCTTTTGGTGATTGTGTGTATGAATTTTTGTTGGCTGTATTCCCAGAAGTAGGAAAGCCAAGTACCTTGAGGTTCCTGTATTAAGAGTGAATCTAGAATGGTTATGTTCCGCTTAAGTAAGTACTGTGAAAAGTCTTCCAAAGTGATCTTATTAATTTTATACTCCTGCCAATAGTGTATGAGATGGTATCATGACCAGCACTTGGTACTGACTGTTTCATTTTCCCAGTTCTAGTGGTTGTGTAGGTGTTCACTTCACTTCCCTGGTGACTAATGCATGTTATTGGCAATATGTTCTTTTGTGAAGTGTCCATTTACGTCTTTTGCCCATTTTTTCTTAAGTTGTAGAAATTTAAAGGTATATTTCGGATATGAGCCCTTTTTTGAATAGATGTATTATAAATTGCTTCTACTCAATGTGCCTTTGTACTTTTTTAAAGCTGAGTAGCTTTTGATGAAAAGAGTTTTTACTTTTATTATAGACCTATTTGTCATTTGTTTTGCTTTATAGTTAGTGATTGTGTATGTAATTAATTGTGTTTAAACTTTTGTCAGTAAAGTGACTTCATTTTTATGTTTATTTTTTCTGGACTCAGTATTAGATGGTGTTACTTGATTCTAAAACAAAACAAAACAAAACAAAACAAAAAACAAAGAAAACATCTTTCTCCCTTCCCCTTCTCATTTTCCCTTCTACCAGGGTGGGTACTAAGAATGTTGCTGGGATCTGTTTACCAACATACGTGAAATTTCAGAGTCCAGCTTGTTCTGTAGATACTGAAGAGACAGTTGAACCATATACTACCGAAAAGATGAGTCGAGTTCCTGGCGGGTATTTGGCTTTGACAGAGCGCTTTGAAATTATGACAGTAGATTTCAACAATCTTCAGGTAAAAAAAAGAAAAAGAAAAAGAAAAAGTTCACTTATAATTTTTGAGCATTAAATTTCAAGCATTCTTTAAAGTAATACATAGGACAGTCTTATTTTATGAATTTACATGGGATTCTACTTACTACATATAAGGAAAATGATTTAATTATAATCAGTATTTTCTCCTGAGAAGATTATGTACTTACTTTAAATACATAGGAAAAAAAATCCCTAAGGTTTGTTGGGAATGTATAATGTGACAGGTGCTTTCACATGTGTTCTTAGATGGTTTTTACAACAGTGTTGCAACTATAATTATAGTTAAGATTATCCTTGTGCTATATAGATGAGGGAATTGTTTCTTACATTAATTTTCCCCAAATTATGCAGGTGTGAATGCAAGAGTTATAATCTAGAGCTTTCTGACTTTCTCAGTGTCATGCTGCCATTTCAGGTTAACAGTATTCCTTGAAAAGAACGGTAACCCAAATCTCTAGATCGTATCTGTATCAGGGTGATCACCCAAATCAGTTGCCCAGAAATGAGAAGTTCCCAAGACATGGGACTTTCAGTTTTAGACTAGGATAGTCTTGGGCAAACCAGGACAGGTTGGTTGCCCTGTGTCTCTGTGTATGTATTGGTGGGTGGTGGGCAGATGTGCTGCATAAAGAAAATGCCCAAGGAGATTGAGAAAGGTCACACAGAGTCCTTGTCTGAAGAACATTAAGGTTAGATGAGATGTGTCTGGGGACAGAAGACTTTGTAAGGGCCATTATAGCCTGTGATCTTTACAATTCATAAATTTAATATAATTTAATCTCCTACTAATTGTTACTAGGTTCTTCTTAAGGTGGTTTGGAGCTGCATTAACACTTTGACATTATTTACTGAGGCTGAGCTTCAAGACCATTTCATTTCTGATATAACAGTTACAGTAGGGAACAATACAGTTATAGTTGCTAAATACTCCAAAACTGTTATTTTCTTATTTTGAGCTTTTCTTATGTTAAATTTTCTTTGACACAGTTTAAAAAAAAACAACACTTTACTAAGGCTTTAATTTGGAAGTCGTATTTACTTGTTTAACACTTTCGAGTAATAAAGAAGAAAAGAAACAGTGTATGTCTTCCTTTTTAAAATCTAGGTCCTACTTTCCCCAGACCACAAGTTTGAGGTACATCTTTTCAGACTTGTTTTTCTATTCTTCTAAACACACACACACACACACACACACACACACACACACACTTTTTAAAAATAAAATCCCTATTTGTTTGCCACTTGCTGCCCTCATTCAACAATATATCATGAACTTCTTTCTTTTTCCTTTTTTTTTTTTTGTCATGGACTCCTTTCTACATCAGTATTATGTATCTGCCTCATTGTTTTTAATAGTTACACAGTATTCCACTATGATAGATGGGAGCTTTTCATCCAGTATGCCTCAAATGGCTATAGGTATGTAAGGATATTGATTTTCCTAAGGATGCTGGGCAGATGTGAGAATTTACAGAAATGGGAAGTGATATGATATTGGTGATATGATATATACATATTAAATATATATTAAGTATATAAAATGTTTTCATTCCTTTTACATTTTTGTCAGGAATTAAAAAGTCTTGCAACTAAAAAACCTGGTAAAATTGGTATTCCTGTTATTAAAGAAGGCATACTAGATGCTGTTGTGGTTTGGTTTGTACTCCAGCTTGATGATGAACATAGTTTATCCACAAGTCCTAATGAGGAAACATGTTGGGAACAAGCTGTCTACCCTGTACATGACCTTGCAGGTATATCTTAGCTAATTGTTGTTTGTTTGTTTTTTTAAATCTTGTTGCTTTAATCCTGTAAGCATTTGAATTAGTGTAAAAAAAATTTACTTTGAATAAGAAATTTCCAATCAAGGGAGATGGGTTAAATTTTTTAGGACTTTTTATTGTTTTGAAAGATTTTATTTATTTGAGAGAGAAGAGAGCATTCAGGCTTGAGTAGGGACAAGGGTAGAGGGAGAAGCAGACTCCCTGCTGAGCAGGGAGCCCATGCAGGGCTCAATCCCAGGACATTGTGATCATGACCTGAGGCGAAGGCAGCTGCTTAACAGGTTTGAGCCACCCAGGCACCCCAGAACTTACTTTTTAAAAAAGTAGTTTTAAATAATTAATATATGTTTTAAGAAGAGAAATTAAAATGTAATTGCTGCATACCACTCAAAAATACCTATCATTGGGGTGCCAGGGTGGTTCAGTTGGTTGAGTGTTCGACTCTCGATTTTGGCTGGGGTTATGGTCTCGGGTCCTGAGATTGAACCCTGTGTAGGGCTCTTTGCTTAGCAGGGAGTTGGCTTGGGATTCTCTCCTTCTCCCCTCCTGTTGCTTATGCATGTTCTCTCAAATAAATAAATAAATAAATAAATAAATAAATAAGATTTATTCTAAAAATGTGATTTCTTTAGCTCTGATTACTCTGGTTATCTGTAGATAAGAGAAATGCTAGTCTATTTGTTATAGAACAGTGGAAAAGTACTAGGGTAGGAGCTCTTGCTGCTTGTAGAATCTGTGGAGCCCCCGGTCATAAAAGTGCACACACACACACACATAAAACAAAATTTTGCAGTTTTAGAGGGCTTATAAATTCACGGACTTCCCTAGAGAGTCTGTGTTAAAGATATTTTTTGTATAGAAATTTTTTTACCAGCAGTTTGGTGGATTTCAATATAGTTTACATAAGTTGTATTACATAGAAAAATTCTACCTTTTTTAAGTGGGGGCAGGTAATAAGTTTCTATTTCTGTGTAGTTTTCCTAGTCAAGGATCTAATTTGGCAAGATGGTTAAATCTTGGAATGAGTATAGTTTTGTGGCTAGTATGGTGTTTTTGGAGCCAGTCACGTAGACTTGGATTCAGGTCTTGGCACTGCTGCTTACCGACTTCCTGGCTGGCTTGCTGACTATGTCTCAGAGCTTTTATTATTTGATATACAAAAATGGGATGATGTTGCCTACCTTGCAGGATTGTACCTTGTAGAGATTTTAAGAAATAATGGACAAGGCACGCCTGGGTAGCTCAGTCAGTTAAGTGTCTGCCTTTGGCTCAGGTCATGATCCCAGGGTCCTGGGATCCAGCCCCGAGTTGGGCTCCCTGCTCAGAGGGGAGCCTGCTTCCCCCTTTCCCTCTGCCCCTCCCCCTGCTTGTGTTACCTCTCTCACTGTCTCTCTGTCTGTCAAATAAATAAATAAAATCTTAAAAAAAAAAAAAAGTGTCTGCCTTCTGCTCAGGTCATGATCCTGGGGTCCTGGCATTGAGTCTGGCATTGGGCTCCTTGCCTGGCAGGGAGTCTGCTTCTCACACTGCCTGCCGCTCTACCTGCTTGTGATCTCTCCTTCTCTGTGACAATAAATAAAATAAAATCTATCTTTAAAAAAAAAAGAAATAATGGATGTAAAATGCGTATCAGCAACATAGCAACTGGCACTCAGTTAGTAGCATTTTTTATTTGAGTTTATTAAAAAATTTTAATTCCAGTATAGTATATGGTGTTATACTAGTTTGAGATAATCATTGTAATAATTGAGTAATTCTCTACATTACTCAATGTTCATCATAAATATACTCTTAATCCTCTTCTCCTGTTTCACCCATCCATCTGCCCCCACCTTGTAACCACCAGTTTGTTCTGTATAGTTAAGAGTCTGTTTTTTCGTTTGTCTCTTTGTTCATTTATTTTTCTTAAATTCCACATGTGAATGTACTATGGTATTTGTCTGTTTCTGACTGACTTATTTCACTTAGCATTATACTCTCTAGATCCATCCATATTGTTGCAAGTGCAAGATTTCATTCTTTTTTATGGCTGAGTAATATTCTATCTATATACCACATCATTTAGAAACATTTTTTAAGTTCCAGTTAACATACAGTGTATTTAATAGTTTTAGGTGTACAATATAGTGATTCAGTACTTCCATATACCACCTGCTCATCATTTGCTCATCACAGCAAGTGCACTCCTTAATCCCCATATCCCCATCACCTGTTTAACTCATCTCCACACCCTCCCTTCTATACCACATCTTGTTTATCCATTCATCTATCAGTGGACACTTGGGCTGCTTCTGTACCTTGGCGATTGTAAATAAGGCTGCTATGAACGTAGGTATTAGTGTTGAATTAGTGTTTCCATATTCTTTTTGGTATTCATTTTCATTATTCATTCTCATATTCCACTACCCAGTAGTGGAATTACTGGGTCGTACGGTAATTACGGTAGTTGTGTTCTTAATTTATTGAGGAACTTCCATACTATTTTCCACAGTATTCCCACCAACAGTGCATAAGTGTTCCTTTTTCTCTACATTGTTGCCCACACTTGTTGTTTCTTGTGTTTTTGGTTTTAGCCATTCTGACAGGTGTGAGGTTATATCTCATTGTGGTTTTGATTTGTATTTCCATGATGATGAGTGATTTTGATTATCTTTTCATGTGTTATTTTTATTCTTTCTAGTAGTTACTTGGGTGGGCTTTCTTTTTTTAATCATTCTTAGGGAAAGGACATTTTATTTTTTATCTATTTAAATTTATTTATTTTTAAAAAGATTTTATTTATTTATTTGACAGAGAGACATCACAAATAGGCAGAAAGGTAGGCAGAGAGAGAGGGGGAAACAGTCTCCCTGCTGAGCAGAGAGCCCTGATGTGGGGCTCAATCCCAGGACCCTGAGATCATGACCTGAGCCGAAGGCAGAGGCTTAACCCACTGAGCCACCCAGGCACCCTGGGAAAGGACATTTTAAATGTGTAAACAAGAATAACCTTTATTTGCAACTGGTTCTAAAGCTGATAAGAAGGAATTGTGATTATACGTTTACATTTAAATTTTTACTGAGTTTGAAAGCTCATGGATAAGAGCATGATATAGTCTCTATTGTAGGACTTAAATCCTTCCTTATATTATCAAATTCTTAAACATTCAAGTGTCTAAATACTTCCAGTTAGAAATATATTCTATTAAATCCTGCCTTGTTCTTCTGGAAATTTCTTAGAGAAAAGAATATCCCTTTAAGCTAAGGTGAGGGTTTGGTTATTGACCCCTTTCATTTATCTTTGTTATTGTTGGCTTCATTACTGAAGAAGATTAAGAGTCCCCTGGAATCCTTCCCCCACCCCCTAATATGGAAATGATGATAGCTAGTGATTGCACTAAAAGCACTGTAGTACTAGTAGTTGGGGTCTAATAGTAGAGATCTTGAATCTAATCTCTCTATTAGGCTATAAGTTAATTGTCTTCAAATTTTAAGTTTTTGGCTAAGAAAGCTGGAGGGATTTTTCCTGGCTTTTGTAGGAAATGAGTAAATTAATTCACTTAATTCTGTTAAATCAATGGATGTAATCTTTCCTGTAGTGATTTCAGAATAGGGGAGGGTGGGAGAGTTTGTATGGTCCTCAGACTTATAAATATATTCATCAATTACAATTTTTTTCTTTCTTACTATTTTATGGAGACTACCGGATAAAACGTGGGGACCATGTGATGATGGAAGTGTCTTGTCAAGATTGTTACTTAAGAATCCAGAATATCAGTGTTTTTGGTCCAGAATGTGAAGTGGATACTGGAAAAAATTTTACCAAAAATAAAGACTTGCTCACTTTAGGAAGTGAGGCTGAACTCTGTAGTGCCCTGGCTAACCTTCAGACCAGTAAACCAGATGCTGTAGAGCAGACATGTATATTGGAATCCACAGAAATTGCTTTGCTTAATAACAGCGTCTATCATGAAGGCTTTAAAATGGCAATGAGAAAAGTATTGTCTTCGTTGACTCCAGAGAAACTGTGTCAGGCCATGGACACTCAGTGTCAGAATGAGATGAGCTGTGGAAGTGAAGAGAGTAATTCTCAAGAGATCATCCCTGAACCTTTCTATGTGTTAGATGTGTCTGAAGGCTTCTCTATTCTGCCCATAATTGCTGGCACACTTGGGCAGGTTAAACCTTACAGTTCTGTGGAAAAAGACCAGCATCGTATCACTCTGGACCTCATATCTGAAGCCAATCACTTTCCTAAAGAAACACTTGAGTTTTGGTTAAGGCATGTGGAAGATGAATCTTCTGTGTTGCAAAGGCCAAAATCAGACAAGCTGTGGAGTATAATTATATTGGATGTCATTGAGCCATCTGGGCTCATTCAGCAGGAAATAATGGAAAAAGCAGCAATATCCAGGTAAAACACAAAATACAACCTTTGGTTTTTGAGCTTAAATTCATGTAAATTCTTTTATTCTTTAATGGCGTAGTTGTACAAATGAGTCATGATCATGTATGTTCCTTAAACATTGCTTTTCAGGATATGTGACATTATCCCTTTCTCTTTGTGTGCATGTCAGTACTCATTTTTTTTTCATCTAAAGGAACACCTTCTCTATAGGTGTGAAGAAGAGATCCTGCTTTGGGATTGGACTGCCTGTATATAGTATAGAGAATTAAGTAGAGGTATATAAGAACAGAAAAGATATTCAGGGTAAATAAGGAAAAAATCAAATCTCATCTTTATGATATAAGAAATATCTTAAATGGGGCACCTGAGTGGCTCAGTCAGTAAAGTGTCTGCCTTTGGCTCAGGTCATGATCCCGGGGTTCTGGGATCGAGTTCCAGGTCGGGCTCCTTGCTCAGTGGGGAGCTGGCTTCTCCCTCTTCTTCCATCTCATGCTCTCTCTAGCTGTCTCTGTCATTATCTTTGTTTCTATCTCTCAAATAAATAAATAAAATCTTAAAAAATACCTTTAAGAAACATATAGTACACATTTGATGGTATATTGGTAGAGCAAAGTGCTTCTTATAAACAAGTCCCAGTTCTCTTAGGTCTTAAAATCTTTATTTTATAATACAGTTTTCTCTCCAAGGTATTTTCCCTTCAGTGTTGGTTGGTGGAGGCAAAAATTGACCCCATATTTAATATTGAAAGCAAATTCAATTAGAGTTCTTTAGTTGTGCTGCTCAGATCTGAGTGCCTATTGGCCATTTGTGTATCTTCTTTGGAAAAATGTCTCTAAAGGTTCTTTGTCAATTTTTGAGTCAGATTTTTTTTTTAATTGAATTTTAGGAATTTTCTGTGTATCTGGATATTAATCTCTTATCAGATAATTGACAAATATTTTCTCCCATTCTGTGGGTTGGTTGCCTTTTTACCTTATTGAGAGTATCTTTTGATATGTAGAAATTTAATTTTTTGATACAGTCCACTTTGTTTTTTGTTTTACTTTTGTTGCCTGTTTTTGGTGTCATTTACAAGAAATTATTGTCAAATGCTATGGTCTAAAGCTATTCTCTTATGTTTTCTTTTAAGGGTGTTTATAGTTTTAGGTCTTATATTTAGATCTTTGATCCATTTTGATTTAATTTTTGTATATGGCATACAGTTAGGGCCCAGCTTCAGTCTTTTGCGTATGGTTATCATATTAGTAGAAAAGACATCCATTCTACATTGAATAGTCTTTTTTTTTTTTTTTTTAAGGTTTTATTTATTTATTTGACAGAGAGAGAGTGAGAGCGAGGGCACAAGTAAGCAGAGGGGCAGGCAGGGAGAGGGAGAAGCAGGCTCTCCACCGAGCAGGGAGCTGGATGTGGGGCTCGATCCCAGGGGCCTGGGATCATGACCTGAGCCAAAGGCAGTCGCTTAACTGACTGAGCCACCCAGGCGCCCCTCACGTGGAATGGTCTTGACAGCCTTGGCAAAAACCGTTTTACCATATATGTAAAAATTTATTTCTGAAGTCTTTAGTTCCATTTCATTGATCTACATATCTGGTCTTTATGCCACTACCGTCCTATTCTTTATAATAAGCTTTATAATAAGTGTGTTTTTAAGCAGCTAAGTCTTTTTTTTTGTCGTGGTGGTAAAAAAAACAACATTAAATTTATCATCTTAACCATTTTAAAACAATATTTTATTTATTCATTAGAGAGAACATGGTAGGGGGGCAGAGGAAGAGGGAAAAGCAGACTCTGCACTGAGCAGGGAACCAGATGCAGGAGGCTTAATCCTAGGACCTGAACCAAAGGCAGATACTTAATTGACTGAACCACCGAGGCATTCCTAGGTGGAAAAATCATAAAACCATCATAACCATTAAAAATCATTTAATGATTGACCATTAAAAATGTTTAAAAATCATAACCATTTTTAAGCATACAGTTTAGTAGTACTAAGGTTATTCACATTATTGTACAACAGATCTGTAGAACTTTGTCATCTTTGAAAATTAAAACTATAAGCACAAAACACTAATTCTCCTTGCTGGCAAGCCCTTGGCAACCACCTTTCCAATTTCTGTTTCTATTTTTTGGAGTACTTTAGATACTTCATATGTAGAATCATGTGGTATTTGTCTTATGTAACTGATATATATCACTTAACATAATATCCTTAAGGTACATCCATGTTGTAACAGGTAGCAGGATTTCCTCCTTTTTTTAAAACTGCCTAATATTCCACTGTATGAAGATGCCCGTTTCATTAGCCATTCATCTGTTGATGGACATTTGAGTTATTCTGCCTTTTAGCTACAGTCAATAATGGTGCTTGAATATGAGTGTTCATATAGCTCTCTGAGAGTCTGCTTTCAATTCTTTTCATATGTATCTAGGGGTGTGGTTGAATCATAATTCCGACTTCAGTATTGCAGCTTCCTTGGTGCTATGGCAAGTCATGGTACTAGAGCTCACCCTAATGTCTCTCTGTGGTACTGCACACCCTATGCTTCTTAACCAAGCCAAGTGATGTCCTTTGTCTATCAGAGATCCCAACTGACTCCCATTTTTTGGTCACTGCTTAGGTTCATGCAAGAGAGAAACCAGTACCTTGGACAGCCCCCCACCCAAAGTCAGAATGTTGGATATATGCTCCAACATTTTTTTTGGAGCATATATCTTTTTTCTTCCCAACAAGAAGCAGGGAATTTGGAGTTCTCTCTTGATTGTACTTGATTGCTGTATGTGCTTGGGGAAGGGACTATGGCAAGTAAATGTGATACATTTTCCTACCATTTTCCATGTCGTTCTTTCTGGCTGTGCACTGGCCTGGGGTATAGGAACCTCCTAACTGGTTTCTAGATATCTCAGAAACAGTTTAGTCTGTGTGTTTTTGTTAAGTGTCTCTGGGGAGAGGTGAGTTGGAGGCTTCCTATTCACCATTTTGCTTATATGGTCATTTTCCCTGTACTTTGTAATAAGTTTTGAAATTGGTAAGTGTAAAACCTCCAACTTTGTTTTTGTTTTTGTTTTTTTCAAGATTGTTTTGGCTATTCTGGATCCCTTGAAATTCCATATGAATTTTAGGATGGCGATTTTTCTGTTTCGGTAAAAAATGCTGTTGGGATTTGATAGGGATTACATGAAATCTGTAGAGTTCACTTTGAGTAGTATTTACATTTTAACAATATTTTCTTCCAGTCCCTGAATGTGGGATGTCTTTCAGTTTATTCATTACTTTAAAAAAAAAAATTCTATTTATTTATGTGAGAAAGAGGGAGTGCATGTATGCGCAGGAGTGGGGAGGTGGGATGGGGGGGCACAGAAGGAGAGGGACAAGCAGACTCCTCACTGAGCAGGGGGTCTGATACGGGGCTCAATCCCAGGACCCCAGAATCATGACTTGAGTCGAAGGCAGATGCTAAACTGACTGAGCTGTGCATTTGCTCCTATTTGTGCTTTCTAGCAATGTCTGTAGTTTTCAGCTTATAACTCTTTAACCTGCTTGGTTAAGTTTATTCCTAAATTGATGCTATTATAAGTGGGATTGTTTTCTTAATTTCCTTTTTTGGATTGTTCGTGCTAGTTTTAGAAATACAACTAATTTGTGTGTGTTGATTTTATATCCTGCAACTTTGCTGAATTTATTAGTTGTAACATTTTTGTGTGGAATCTTTAGGAGCTTCTAAATATATGATAATGTTGTCTATGAACAGAGATAATTTTACTTCTTCATTTTAAGTTTCAATGCCCTTCATTTTTCTTGCCTGATTGCTTCCTTTAGGACTTCCAGAGACTATGTTGAATGGAGGTAGTGAAAGTGGGTATCCTTGTCTTGTTTCTGATCTTAGTGGGAAAGCTTTCAGTCAGTCACATTTTATTTAAATGGAACCTTTAAAGGATTTTTTAAAAGTTATAAAAACAATTTAGCAGAGAATGTGTTCTGTGTTATAATAGTGGGAAACAATTTATGTAAAGCTACCAACTGCTCTTCCCTGTGTTTCTTAGTAGGGGGAGGAGTCCTATTAGCAGTTTGAGTGGGACAGTTTTTTTGTTTTGTTTTTTTGTTTTTGTTTTCTTTATTTTTTTTTTTATTTTTTAATTTTTTTACAGTTCTTATATAGGATTGTCTTATAGATTGCAGGATGTTTGGCATCTCTAGGCACTAAATGCTAGTAGCACCTGTCATCATTGTTTTAACCGGTATTCTTTCCTCTCCTCCAAATACCTCCTGAGGAACAGTGGGGAACCAGTGGTTCTTTCCTTTAGCCCAAGCTATTGTACAACCTCCTTACCTGGCTTATCTTGATTCTGGGGATAGAGGTATGCAGATACTCTGACACAGGCTTGCTGTTATTACTTTAGCCTCTAACAAAGAGGAGGTCTCATGCCTGGGAAAGAGGGTGCAATTAGTGATTGGGAGAATAAATTATATCTGGGATAAGGGATCTCTCTCACTGGAACTCCTCCCAGACACCATCCCTCTCCAACCCCCCCCCCCCCACACCCTGCAAAGCAAGAGAAAATGAGTCATTTCGCAGACTTCGGTATGTAGTTTCCAAATTACTTTCGTAGTCATTGTTGTAAAATGTTTAGTCATACTAAATTAAAACACAGGAGAACTTTTTTTTGGTACTTTTTTTTTAAAATTTAAACCCATTTAAAAACATCTTGTGTTAGATCACAAAGAAACTGAAGGATTTCTTCTCTTCAGAATTTTTGCCATTTATGGTTAAACTTTTGAGCTGGAATGTATTTTTTCACCCCTGAAGGCACAGATGGTTTAGAAGCACTATTTGGCTTTGAAGAAGATTCCATTGAGGAGTCTGGAAGCTCCAGTGGCATAAGTGACAACAAAACAATGTCAGTAAAGCTAAGCATAGTTGCAAGGTGATTACTGTTTTATCTAACGTAACTAAGAAGCATTTCTGTTAGGACAGTAATATTGAGTTAAGGACTTGTAAAAGATTTTAGATTAGAATAATAGGACTACAGCCTTTTAAAATAATTTTCATATACTGCCTTTGTGTAGTATTTATCTCTGGTATAGTCATTAGTACTTGATTCAGCCTTTTATAACTTTTTTAACGTTCAGCAAGTAAAATTTTGATACTTTGGTCTGATTTTCTGAAATGATTTTATGTATTGCCCTCCCTTCCTCTTTCCCATAGATTTTTATGGTTAGAAGATTGACTTTTAACCTGTGTACTTTTTCAGCTTGCAGATTTCATAGTACAGTAACCCTCCTGTGTTTTTTGGGGGGTGGAGGGGATTAGTCAAGCAGCATAAAGCTCTGTGGCTATCTGTCATTTGAGATCTTGTTCCCTTAAAAGAAAAATTAGATCTGTTTCTATTTATTTATTTATTTATTTAAAAGATTTTATTTATTTATTTGACAGAGGGAGATCCCAAGTAGGCAAGAGGCAGGCAGAAATAGAGAGGGAAGCAGGTCCCCTGCTGAGCAGAGAGCCCGATGTGAAACTTGATCCCAGGACCCTGAGATCATGACCTGAGCCGAAGGCAGAGCCTTAACCCACTGAGCCACCCAGGAGCCCCTGATCTGGTTCTATTTAAACAGATCACAATTAGCAAATAACTTGAGAAAAATTTAGTAACATGAATTTTCAGAATTAAACCTGATCCATTTGAGGAAAACTGGTTTCTTCAGTTTTTTGGAAGATAAATTTTCATCTGGTTTGCTAAAGACATAGGAATTTTGTTAAGAGCTATGTAATTTTACTAATTATAGAGATTAATTTCTACTAGAATTTACCTAAAATATTAGAAGTTGATAGGAAAGCAGTAACGAAAATAAGCAAAACATTGGGGTCAGGATGGAATCCTTTTTTAGGCTAGTCTGTAATATACAGGATTTATTGCAATGTAAATGATTATGTACTTATATTTACTGAAGAGAGATTATCCTGATTTAGGATCATAACTTGTCTCATTATATTTAGGAATCATCTCTAACTTCCCTTGCTGATTCTGTGTTCCTCAAATGATCTGGTTATGACATGGCTTCTGATTAGCTAGCTAATCTTAGGGAGAGCTGTTACAAGAATAGTCTGTTTACGTATTGTAAACTTTTCCACCAACTTTTTATCTTGAAATACTTCAAAATTTCAAACTTAAGAAAAATTGCAACAGTGAAAACAAGACTGCTGTTTTGTCTTTATAACCTTCACTCTTACTTTAACATTTAGTGTGTGTCTCCTTAGAACAAAGTCTTCCCCCCCCGACATATCACAATAAAATCACACTCAGGAAACTTAGCATTGATAAAATGCTATTGGTTTAATATATAATCTATATTAAAATTTCCCCTACTGTCCCAGTAATATCCTATATTCCTTTTTCTTCTTCCCAATCTAGGTTCTAATCAAGGGTCCTGCATTGCATTTAGTTGTCATGTCTTGTTATAGTTTGCCATTCTGGTTTTAGATACAGTATTTTTAAATGGTTGAGAGAATCAGTTTAGTAGAAGACAGAAGAATTAATGATTTGAAACTAATTTAAGAGCAGAAATGCCAAAGTGGTTTTGAGGAATGGGTGTTTTATATAAGTTTGTCAAGATTTTAATGACCCATTCAGGGAAATTACATAGCATAAAATTTTATTAACTTGTAGGATAAATGTCTTGGCAAAACCAGACCTTATCCTTGTGTTATTATAAATAGATCCTTACTAATCCTGTGTATTTAAGAGGAAAAATTTACTATGAAAGATACATACGATAATATGAAGTTCATTTGTCTATAAATAGCCTGTCCTAGAAGTTCAGGTGGAAACCAGCTTAGAATATTCAGTAAAAATGAGGGATTTAATGTGTGACTGTAAATGTGGCAAATGAAAATAATGACTTGGTTGAAAGTCCTTTAAAGTATTCTCCCAACTGCTTCATTTGATGGTAGTAGAAGACCCACTATACTGCCTCATGCTTCACACAGCTGAGGGGTGAGGAAGTAAGACTGTATAGGTGGACGTGGGAGCCGTCTTGGTTTAAGAGCCCTAAACTTCACATAGGAACTAATACCTCCTGTAGGTGTAGCAATAGGGAAACTTGGTTGCAAGATAACCACCCTCAGGGAAGCCGAAAGATGATACAGCTTCCCATCAGGTGCTTATAGTTTGTTCATGGTTCTCTCAGTCTAAGATGCATTCTACCTACTGAGAGGCAATTAAAAAAATCTTTGTCCTAAGCAGTGTTGCTGATCACACTAAGACGGCTGATATTCTTCCTTTATGGGATTTCCAGGGAATCAAAAGGTGAACCCAAGATCAGTTGTAGGAGGAGAATGGGTTTTGTTAACCCTTTACTAATACTCTTCCTAACGTCCTTTACTAGAACATTTCGATTTTTAATTACATTTTTTTCTTTCAGTGTTTAACTTTTTGTTTTGAAATAATTTCAGGCTTACAGAGAAGTTAAAGAATAACAAAGAACTTTTAACAACAGCAGCAAAAAAGAATTTTTAACATATACCTTATAGCCAGATGCACAAATTGTTACTCTTTTGCCACATTTGCTTTATTATTCTCTCTGAACTATTTAATATTTTTTAAAAGATTTTATTTATTTATTTGACAGACAGAGATCACAAGCAGGCAGAAAGAGAGGGGGGAGCAGAGAGCCCGACGCGGGGCTCGATCCCAGCACTCCAAGATCATGACCTGAGCCGAAGGCAGAGGCTTCAACCCACTGAGCAACCCAGGCGCCCCCTCTCTGAACTATTTAGAATAAGTTCCAGATATCACGGTCTCTTACCCCTAAATATTTTGGTTTATATTTCTAAGAACAAGGATATTCATTTATATAACCATCATACAGTTGTCAAAATCAGGAAGGATGGCCATAATACCTATGTCTAGTGTACAATCCTTCTCAGATTTCACCATTTGTTGCAGTAGTATCCATTATAGCTTTTTTTTGTTTCTGGTTCAGAATCCAGTTGAGGATCACATACTGCATTTAATTGTCTTGTCTCTTTAGTCTCCTTAATTCTGTAACAGTTCCGAAGTTTTTCATGACATAAACAGTTTTGTAGAGTGTAGGCCATTTATTTTTTAGAATGTTCCTCATTTTTTAAAAAAAGATTTATTTATTTATTTGACAGATAGAGATCACAAGTAGGCAGAGAGGCAGGCAGAGAGAGAGAAAGGAGGAAGCAGGCTCACTGCTGAGCAGAGAGCCTGGTGTGGGGCTCGATCCCAGGACTCTGGGATCATGACCTGAGCTGAAGGCAGAGGCTTTAACCCACTGAGCCACCCAGGCGCCCTATTTTTTTGTTTTTAATTAGGTTTGGATTATCCATTTTAGAGAGGAATCTTACCCAAGTCTTGTCACATTACGAGGCACATAGTATTGCTTTATTCCATTATTGTTGATGTAATAATTTAGATCAGTTGGTTTAAGTTGTATCTATCAAGTTTTTCTACAATAAAATGCTGTGTTTCCCTTTGTAATGAGTATGTCATTTGGGGGATGGGCAATACTTTGAGACTTTGTAATATCTTTTTCCTAATAAGACTTTCAATCACTAGTTTTAATATCAATTGATAATCTTCCTAAATCTAAAGACCTATCCATCCAGCCAGCTGGTGGTTTTTCTCTTTCATGGATCAGTGGCCACTTTGACTTTTTGGGAAATTATTTTCAGTGGTTTACCACTCTGAACTACCAGCCAATAACATAAAGTCTATTAGATTATGTACAATCTGTAGCCCACCAATTCATTCTGATTTAGTTATTGGCATTTGTAAAATGTAGGGAATTAAGACGCTTTTTAAAATATTTTTCCTTCTCTAGGTGTTTGCTACAATCTGGAGGCAAGATCTTTCCTCAGTATGTGCTGATGTTCGGGTTGCTTGTGGAATCACAGACACTGGTAGAAGAGAGTGCTGTTCAAGGAACAGAACGTACTCTTGGATTAAATATAGCACCTTTTATTAATCAATTTCAGGTAAGTGTTTAGAAGTTCAGCCAGGTGGCTGTTACCCCCATCTACCTTATCTTTCTCTGTAGTTTTATTGAGACAGTGTGTTTAGCTGGATTAGGATGGTAATCATTGTCCCAGAGCAAAGGAATTTTTTTTTTTTTAAGATTTTATTTACTTATTTGAGAGCGAGACAGTGAGAGAGAGCATGAGCGAGGAGAAGGTCAGAGGGAGAAGAGACTCCCCATGGAGCTGGGAGCCCGATGTGGGACTCGATCCCGGGACCCCGGGATCATGACCTGAGCTGAAGGCAGTCGTCCAACCAACTGAGCCACCCAGGCGTCCCCAGAGCAAAGGAATTTATGAGTGAAAATCAACCTAGAGATTAGAATAGCCAAGGAAGTCTGTTGTTTCTACTGACAAAAGGCTACAGATACTCCTCTGAACCATTGTTACAAGTGAAAAATAGGGTCCTAGATTTAGTCTTAGGAAAAAGGTGCTTCTTGTCTAAAACAGAAGCAGCCAGAGAAAGACTGGCATTCTAAACATGAACCCTTAATTACATTGAAACCTCAGGTTAGCAGGTGATAGATGTAAGCAGCTAATGTCTAGACAGTGAGACTGCTGTGAGTAGGAATGCAGAAACCTAGGAAACTGGAACTCAAGGCAAAGGGGTTAGTTGTTATTTGGGAAACAAGGACCCAAGATTTAGTGCTGGCAGAGGCATTAGCCTCAGAATACAAATTTGTGAGTTAAAATTGTGTGAGTGGGTGGAGTGTCTAAGGGAAGAGGTTTGGGGTTGAAGACAGAGGTAGGAAGTAGGTGGAATACTGATATGTAAGCCAAAGCAGAATTTTGGGAAGTAGATACATATTTAAAGAAGTGACATCTAAAACTTATATCTAATGGCTATACAGAGTAAGGCTTTGAATATACAGTTAGATCTGTGAATAGTACTTGCTCAGCAAATATAAGTTTTTTGAGAAAATGCTTTTTTTTCCTAGGGCTGGCTAACTGAGATTTTAGTGTTTGTTTAATCTCAGATTTTGGAGAGTTTAATAAGGAGAATATACTTATCAGAAGACAGAAGTTAGGAGCACCTGGCTATTTCGATGGGAGGAGTCTATGACTCCTAATCTCAGAGTCTACATGTAGGGCATAGAGATTACTAAAAAATAAATCAATTAAAAAAAAAAAAAGAAGAAGTTTTGGTTGTTTGTGTGGTTCAGAAATACCACTATCTCCTTTCTAGCTTATTCCCTCTTGATTTTGGTGTCTATAATTCTTTGATTCCATCAGAATCTATGATATTTTGATCCTGCCATCATTTCACTGTATTTTCTCCCTTCCTTAAGAGTGTGTATTCCATGGTCTATATAACTTTTCATATATCCCTTCTCTTTAGTTTTTGTACTGGCCTAGGAAAATCCTACCTTGGTTAAATCCAGCTTTCTGCCTTCTCTACACCAGTAGCCCTGCAGCTGAATATGCAAACTTTGGTCTCTCTTCCGCTTGTGACTACTCATCTCAAGAGGCAGGTTGCCTGGTAGTTTTACATTTCCTGGTCCACTTACTCATTTTCTTAGGTGATATTGTCTCCTCTCTTCTAATATGAGAATTATCTGTTACATAGACAACTGAGTGAACCAATGAAACAAAATGAGAGGTGTTTAAAAAAAAAAAAAAAGAAAAACTACACAGTAGTTCTCCCTTATCTATGGAGGATACTTTCCAAGACCCACAGTGAAAACCACCAGATAGTACTGAACCTATCTATACTGTTTTTTTCCTAAACATACCTATGATACAGTTTAGTTTATAAATTAGGTAGAGTAAGAGATAACAATAACTAAAAATAGAAGAATTATAATGTACTGTAATAAAGCTTACAGGGATGTGATCTCTTTCAGAATAGCTTATTGTACCATATTCACCCTTCTGTGATGACGTGGGATGATAAAATGCCTCTCGTATCCTCTCATTATTATCCTAATGAGATCATGTGAGGGAAATGATGTGTTAGGTTACCATTGACTTGACAGTTTGTCAGGAGGAGGATCCTCTGCTTCTGGACCTTGGTTGACTACTAGTAACTGAAACCATGGAAAGTGAAATCACAAAGAGGACTGTACAGAAAATAACAAATTTATTCATTCAACAAATGTGTAGCATATTTGTGCTACTTTAGGTTTTGGGAATATAGCTGTGAATCTAAGAGATAAGTTCCTGCACTCATGGAGCTGTTCAGATTGACAAACAAGAGATAGATAATAAACTAGTAAAAAGATTAGAACGATGGTGGTTAAAAGTGCTATGAACATAAAGCAGGTTATGAGATAGGGAATGGGGGTATGTGATAAACTATTTTATATAGGTGATGACTAAGGAAAGGACTCATGGGTAAGCGATATTTAAGCAGGGAACTGAAGAAATAAGGAAGCAAACCATAAACAAGTTAAAGTATCAAAAAGTGCAGTGGCCTGCGGCAAGAGCATGACTGGAGTGTTCAGAAACAGCAGGTCAGGTAAAAGATGCAGACAGAAAAGTATTAGGAGCTAGATCTTGTACAGCCTTTTGGTCCTATGAAGACTTTTACTCTGAAAAGGGTGGGAGACACATGTCAGGTATTGACAGAGGAATGACACCGTGTATCTTGTTTTGAAAGTTATTGTGGTTGCTGTGTTAGAAGTAAACCACTTGTGAGAGCAGGCAAAGGTATTACGGCAGTAATCCAGGTGAGAGGGGATAGTGACTTAGACTAGAATAAGTGGTAGCAGTGTGGAGGTGGTGCCAAGTGTTGTGATTGTAGAGACATTGGAAGGTAGGTTGTGGTAGATAGGATGTGGGGTACGAAAGCACCTGGAAGAATAGTTATCATCTACTGAAATGGGGAAAATAGCATGAGGATCAGGTTGTGTTCATGCATTTGTGGGATCATTGAACAGTAGGATAATAATTCAGAGAAAGATTGAGGCTAGAAATAAAATTTGGTACTTAAATTTGATAGATGAAAAAAAGAATTGGTAGATGATATTTAAAGCCTGAGTGAATCACCTTGGGGCTATGTAGAAAGAACTGAACTCATGAGAATTCATGAAATGATGAGCTTTAGATGGGAAATTTAAGAATTAGCACAGCTGCCAGGAGTGGCCAGGAGGCTAGGTTGAGAAACAGGAGTGAGGACGGACTATGAGGGTTAGAGGGCATGTGATGAGAGGTAACAGGAATCTAGAGCTTCTTCTGGTGATTGATACAAATGAGGATAAAGGACAATGAGTCCTGGAAATGGCATGGAACTGCTGTGTCGTTATGGCAGGTAAGGTTGGATGCCTTCAAGGATGCCGAGGGGGAGAGGTTGATCTGTGTCCACTGCTTCACCATGCACAGTTGCTCTAATATTTTACTCAAAAGGAAAGAGGGTACTTTCTTTCTTTTTTAATCATTTTTTCCCCCAAAGATTTTATTTATTTGACAGAGAGAGAGATCACAAGTAGGCAGAGAGGCAGGCAGAGGGGGAGGGGGAAGCAGGCTCCCTGTGGAGCAGAGAGCCCGATGCAGGGCTTGATCCCAGGACCCTGGGATTATGACCTGAGCCGAAGGCAAAGGCTTAACCCACTGAGCCACCCAGGCGCCCCAAGAGGGTACTTTCAAAACAGGTTCCCGGGGGCCCCTGGGTGGCTCAGTGGGTTAAAGCCTCTGCCTTCGGCTCAGGTCATGATCCCAGGGTCCTGGGATCGATCCCTGCATCGGGCTCTCTGCTCAGCAAGGAGCCTGCTTTCCTTCCTCTCTCTCTGCCTACCTGTGATCTCTGTCAAATAAATTAAAACAAAACAAAACAAAAAACCCAGGTTCCCTTTTTATTTCAAATGAAGAGGCTAAAAGTTGCTAGTAGGAATGTTCCACGGATACTAAAATTGATGGAACACATTATAGTGGTGGCTCTCAACCTTGACTGAACTTCCAGAACTACTGATACCTGGATCCCAGCTCTCAGATTGATTGGAGCTATGGCCTGAGCAGTTGGGGGCTTTTAAAACCTCTTCAGGTAAAACAAAAAACAAAAAACAAAAACAAAAACAAAAAACCTCTTCAGGTGATTTTAACTTGGCAGCCAAAGCTGAGAACCATTGCTTTATACAAATAAACTTTATTTTCCAAGTGAAATCCTCTCTTAATTATTTGGTTGAATTTGGCATATTTTCTCAAATAGTTGTACTATTTGCTTATTAGTTCATCTTTCACACATAGGCACATCCTGGGTTTAAAATGTTTGGAGCTACTTTGCTTTAGTAAAAATTTGCGTTCATCCAAGACAAGATCTGTAGATAATTGAAAGAATTTAACCTGACTTAGCCTTGGTTCGTTCATCCTTACAAAACTGGGAATCAAATGAGGTATTAGATGTATAAAGCATTATATCCTACTGATGCAAGTATGAAGCAAGCACTAGAGAGTACATGGCCACAAAAAGAATTGAGTAAAAGTGAAAAATTTGTATTTTCTTTAGGTACCTATACGCGTATTTTTGGATCTGTCCTCATTGCCCTGTGTACCTTTAAGCAAGCCAGTGGAACTGTTAAGACTAGATTTAATGACTCCATATTTGAACACCTCTAACAGAGAAGTGAAGGTAATACAAAATGATTATTTTTTCATATTTAGAATTATCTTAAGCTAGGTAATACTTAATGTACACAAAATAGTATTTGCCACTTTCTTTGACTATTTAAATGTTATGTTTTTTTCTAAACAGTATCTAAAAATGAGCTTGGGTAAATACTAGTGAATATAGTAGATTGGCATTAATTTGAATTGGGTGATTAAATCTTTATAAAATTTGGAGCTAAAATTGACTAAAAAACATACTTACTTAACCAGGTCTACTCTACTTACTCTGATAAAATTTTCATGATTTCTTAATTTTCATAGGTACACATTTGTAAATCTGGACAAGTGACTGCCATTCCCTTTTGGTATCATATGTACCTTGATGACGAGATTAGGTTGGATACTTCAGGTGAAGCCTCCCACTGGAAACAAGCGGCAGTTGTTTTAGAGAATCCTATCCAGGTGGAAATGGGAGAGGAATTAGTACTCAGTGTCCAGCACCACAAAAGCAGTGTCAGCATCACAGTAAAGCAATGAAGAGCAGTTTTCTAATGAAAAACTGTCCAGTTTGAGCAGCAAGTACACAATTCTGGTCTGAATTAGTAGTGGAATTGTAATGATAAAATGGGGGTGTAAAGATTTAATTCCTTGTAATGGTCAAGTATTTTTAAAAATTGATTAATAAAGTATATTTAAAAGATCTTAAAGAGGAGCATTATTACGGAGATATTGCTGCAGACTTCCTTTCTCAAGAAGGTTGTCACTGATTTTCCAAATTGGCAGTTTGTTTTTATTGCTTGGTTATACTCCACAGTGGTTTCAGTTTTGCTC